CCGAGGGTTGCGATCCGTTGCTGGTCACGAAAAATGACAAAAAGGCAAAAAAAAAAAAAAAAGGCAAAAAAAAAGATGTTTTATTCTTTTTTTTTTTTTTGTCTTTTTCCGTGTCCGGCAACGGATCGCAACCCTCAGTGTTGCCCCCGCTCCTCGCTCAGCCAGTGAGCGGCCGGTCTGTATGTGGGATCCGAACCCTCGGCGGGAGCGCCACCGCGCTCCCAAGCGGCACACAGTAGCAGTGCGCCACCAGGCTGGCCCTTTTTTTGCCTTTTTTAAAACTTAAAAATCCTATTGTTCCTGATAATTTTATATTAAATATAATATCCAGAACTGTGATCTGAATCAGCTACTAAGTAGGCAACATTTTTTTAAAGTTATTTGCTCACAATCCCTGCATTTGGAAACTTGTTTCACCAAATGAGATTTTTTGCCTCCCGTCTGGATCTCAGAAATCAAAGCAGTCATTTGTTAGTTTGTTACTATATAGTACAACCATAATAGCTGCTAGTATTGGGTCCTGATAATAATAGTTTTTAAAATGATGATAATACCCAATATAGGGAAAATCATCCAAAACAAATGTCTGGGGGTTAAAAAAAAAAAAAATTCTCGTGCACAGGGTAAGGGGTATCTGCTGTAGTAGTGATTATTTTAATTTGCCTGATGTAGAAATGTTAATTAAGAGGTAGTTAGACCAGTATGATTTTATCAACCAGTTCAATTTTACCTATGTAGCATTCCTTCAGTAGATATTACTTTTCTTCCAAAGAACATTATCTTTTCTTAAAATGCTTAAACTCTCTTTAATCTGACATGTTATTCAAACATCTGTTACTGTATCTTTTAAGGACTCAAAGACTGATCATATATAGAATTCTGATTTTTTAAAAAATAATGAAAGAGTTTTAAAAGATGAAAAGAGCCATAACACAAATAGCATATTTTGAAATAATCTATTAAAGAGTACTGTAAAATACTTTTCATTCTTTATAGTTAAGGCTGACTATACACACTTTCTTCCAAGTCTTACATGTAAAGGCAAAGTAAGATAATGAATAAAAGAAGTAGGCAAAAACAAATGTTACAGTGCAACAACTAAAATATTGAAAAAAGCAAAGAAGTCGAGGTTGTATTCACAAGACCATCAGGAAACTGCATATCACAATTTCTGTTTAGCTCATAACTACGACTATTCTAAAAATAGCAAAGACTGCCAAACTTACCTCAATAAAGTCCATTATTCCCATCTGTCTCCCTTTCCTAAATAAACTGAGGAACATTTGTTTATTAGTTCTAAATTATCTACCCTCAATATATCTTATTTATACCCAAATGTCAGTTAAAAACTTTCTTTTATAAATATATCTTTTAAAAACATACTCATTTTACTTTGATAATTCACCCTTATCTTTCAAAATTTCACATCTCTTTAAGAAATAAATCTCTCTCTCTAACCCTTAAATATTTAAAACTACCAGGAAAATGTAATTTATGAAGAAATGTGTTTTGATGGAAAAAATAATACATTTGGTGAAAGACAGTAAGAGAAAAATACAGAAATTTAATAAATAGAGCTGTGTTACTCAAAGGTAAAAGATAAAAAAAAAAAAAAAGGTAACATAAGGACAACTATAACATGCATAATGACCACATTAGTGATATCAGAGAACGTTATTAATTTCATGGGGAAAAAGGTTTCAAAAATGAAATAACATAATTTTTTTTTTAAATTTCAAAAGAGAGGAAGGCAGGAAGCAACAAAATAAGACCTTATTATTTTAGCTTTAATTTAATTCATTCTTAAAGTGTTATATTTTTGATATTTCTATCCCAAATATGTTCCTCCAAAGTTTCCCCTAACAGAGACAATTTTTAAAATATAAGGATCATAAAGAAATTTTATTTTCTACTTATTACAAAAACAAATCAGGGAAGTAGATAGAGAGAAAATAAATTTAAATTAAATTTGATTTCCTTGAAGGTACTGTATAGTTGCTAAGCCTGTGTTTTTGTTACAATATCGATTGTAAACTCTTCAAAAACCCAATAAAAGAAAATACAGACATGAGTAACTGAATGACAAACTCATTTCTAGATGTCCACTTGTTTTTGTCAAGTTCTGTTTTTTAATAAAATTGAACAGGAAATGGAATTCAATCTCTTTATGTCTGTTAAGATCAGTCAGAATGACAAGGATTAAAAAAATCAACAAATGTGCATCCTAAGAACCAAGATATTTCCCATTAAAGAACAGACTCTGAGACTAACAAATAGCCATTAAGTGATAAAATCTCTTCAATGAGGTTTAACACAAAACCTCTCTTTAGGAAAATTCATCTCCTCGGTTAGAAATTATGAATGTGATCATTCTGACTAAACATTTAAAGACTTTATTTCAATTTTACTGTAAATTACAAATTCAAAAAAATCTTTTAGAGTACTTTTAAAGAAAAATATTTTTCAAGATAATTTTCGTTTCTAGGCAACACATAAAAGTTTTAGAGATTCATTGATAAATCTCACTATAATCTCAATTATTCAAAACTTTTACTGCTCCCAATGGATTTTTTCACCCTAAGTATTAAATTCATCCACTGAGATTTTTTTAAAATTTTTAAATGATAATTATTTTAAGTACATATTTTCCCTTAGTAGAAATAAAAAAACAGAAGTTTAATAATTGTATAAGGCAGTATACACATAATATTTTTTACACAGTTGGACTCTTTCCTAGAATAAAGTATTTTATAAGATTTTAATTACAAAATACAATTTAACCAAAAAATTACATCATACAAGCATACCTCCACCTTGAAACAAAAGTCCCTAAAGGCCAAGGACTTCAGAATGTACATAACCCAAAAGGGTTAGCTAGATAAACCATACGTTTAAGAACATACAAGCCAACAGAAGGGATCTATGAAGGATAATCACCTTAAGAGAAAAAACTTTGTGCAGATGACACTGGTTCAAATGCATTCCCTTGGGGAAAAAAAATCAACTCTGTAAAGATAGCAGATGGATTTATTTAAATAGTAATAAAATTAACGAGGGACTTTAATAACCATCACAAATTATCAAGCATGCAACCATACTACAACAAATGGCATTTTTTTTTTTGCCCATACAGCATGTTTGTCAGAATACTGACATACAAAAATTTCAAGCTTTTTAAATTCATAGGCATTTAGATCTAGCAGTATAACATAGTGTGGGAGAAAATAGTTTTTACTTTCAGTTCAGCAAGAAAGTCAAAGAGCTTCCAAGGGCTTACCACTGGTGGATCAACAGGTGCTGGTGGTTGTACTTGTAGGTTTACCGCAACAGTCTGTGGAGGAGGAAGAGTCTGAAATGGCAACTGGACCAAAGCTTCTGCAGCTGGAAGATCCTCTTCTGACACCAAAGCATTCTGCACCAAAACCTGGCCCTGGGATAGAATTTCAGGCTGCACTTGTAAAGACTGCATGGACTGCAAGGGCAGTGGTGGAATCTGAGCTGGAGGAGATGTTGACATCTGTGGAGGGGTTGCAATTGGGATTGGAGAGGACTGCAAGGTTGAGTACTGCTGGTGTGATGCTGGAGATACAATCTGTTGACCTGGGGACACCAAGGCAGACTGCTGAACTGGGCCAATGTGAACAACAGGGGAAGCTGAAAGTGGAAGATGGGATTGAAGATTCAGCTGTGCTGTAGGTTGCACCTGATTAGCAGTGGACTGTTGCAAATTTGATCCTGGCTGGAGAGCTGATGACACAAGAGGGTGTGGCTGAATAAGTGCTTGTGGATGAATAATTATAGTAGGAGACTGGCTTGGTGAATGAGGTGGTGGAGGAGACACCACTACAGACTGCTGTGCTGACTGTGACTGACTAGGAGACATTGTTAGAGGGGGATGACTCTGAATCGGTGAACAATGCTGTGACTGGGCATTATTGGGAGCTGGAGGAAGGCCATGGTTTTGGAGTGGAATACAGTGCTGGGATGGAGGTGGGTCTTGAGTTGGATTCTGAAGTGTGATTGGCTGAATTTGCTGTTGCTGCTGCTGTAGTATCAGTTGATGATGGGAAACCTTGGGAGGAGGTGAATGAAGAGGAATCTGCTGATGTTTTATTAGAGAATGAGGTTGAATTGGAGAATATGAAGCTGTGAGAGAAAAAAATGACAATCAGTATTGACTTCAAAAATATCACGGAAATTTTAAAATAAATCTAAAAGAAGAAAGTTTTCACATCAGAAGATCATAATCATCAGAATTCTATTACAAGTCTTCCAAACAAGAATGATTTGAAAATTTAAGGACAAATACCTTTTCCTTGGAAAATCATAAAAGTTGCATGAAATAAGCTATACTGTCATAAGTTCCAAAAGAAAACTGCCTAAAAAAATAAATCTGAATCTATACAGGATTTATTCTTATTACATTTTATAGGTCATCAGAATATCTGCATTAACTTTTAGCAAAGTTTACACACTTGAATTTCTTCTTTGGGGAAAGAGTATCAATACTGAACAAGTATAATACATACAAAGATAACTTCAAAATCATAAAAATGGTATATTAAGATTCGTAAAATAAAGGTCTCATCCTTTCTAACCTATGTCTAGACATGCTTCCAACTAATAGTCACATTACTTATAAAGCTTGCCAAATGAGTTTCCAAATTTGAGCTGAGATGAATAGTCAGTGTTACTTGACCCAAGAAGAGAAAATGTTTTGTATAAAAATTTAACTCAATTAAGCAAAGCACAGGTGTGAATCCTGTAGCACGGTTAAATAATCATTGTAATTAAGAACTGAAATTCCTTATTTGGGGGTGGAGGGCTATAACGAGACCCACTGTACCAGAAAATCTGGGGCTGGAACCTTTTATTTTAATTGAAACATAATTAAATGTATGTATCTGTAGGGTACAGCATTGAATATTAATACTTGTGTGCAATATGTGCTGCTCAAATCGGGATAATTAATATATTCAACATTACACAATGTAATCATTTTTTGTGGCCCTTTACCAATTTCTCACTAACCCCTCCTCTCTCCCTTTCCTACCTCTGGTGGCCTCAAAGAACTGAAATTCCAAATCTAGAAGAGCACTAGTTTTGCTTGCAGAGAATGAGGCAATCAGAAGCCAATGCTATCTAAATAAAGGTTCTCTCCCCCACCAAAAAAAAATCCTACAGTAATTTATATGTGATACTATCAGGTTTTCTCCACAAAGGAGCCACACACAACAGGGATAAATATACATAATAATTAGCAACCAAGTTGTAAATGGTTCCCCCATCATTATGACTGATCTGTATACTGTTAACACAGAGGGAGATGCTAGTAAAACCCTCTCTGTCTAAATAAGAATGGAAATTGGATTCAACAGAATATAAACTGAAATTATTGCTTAATATTAATATCACATCAAATTATAAACATTGAAAACAGACCTAAAGACAGGGCAAATTTCTTTTTAAATCTCAAAATGTCAAGATAAAGACTGTATAACACCTTGTATCTATTTTTGTATTCAACTACATGTGACAATAGCCTTATAAAAACTTGCAACTTTTTTTAAAAAATATTTTTACATTTGGCTATTATTTAAAATTTGGGAGATCCTTTAAAGCAATTAACATCTGATTAATAGCTCAAGAAAGTGGGGTTCAGAAGGTTCAATAGATATCCACTAATTGTAAGAAAAAAAAACACATTAGGTCTAAAATTCCATCTAACAAAATAATTTTCACATAGTAACTAGACTAGCACTTCAACTAAGACTGAAATTTTATGCCATCCCTTTATAAATGTGTTGATATAGACTATGTTATAGAGTATGCAAAAAAGGTGAATTAACAAAATCTTGAATTGCTATAGAGTGCCTTTCCTCCAGGGGGCTCAAGGTGCTTTCACATCTCTCATTTGTACTCATAAAAAGCATATGAGTAGATGGGTATTATTATCCCCCTCTTAAAAATAAGGAAATAGATTTTTTGCAAGCATAACAACAAAAGCATGCTTTAATTCAATTTTTAAATTATAATTTTTTTTTACTTTTGATTTTTTTATAACTAAAGTCCATATAAGTTATGATTTAAATTTACCATATTCTTGAAGTACAATGGATATTATATCCACTAGAATAACAATTTTTTTCTGTGCTCTAGCAAGTACGCAATCTCTTATATTCTAGAGCTGATAACTCAATAGATTAACAGTCGATCCTTGCACCTAAATTAAACTTTTCTTGGATAAGAAATCAAAATGAGTTTACATATTTTATATTAATCCATAAGTCCAATTGACAAGCACACATATTACAAAATAATTATGAAGATATTTGAAACAATACCACTAAATAAGAAAAGCCCTAGTGTTCTGGAGAATCATGTCGTGAGTTAATTTCTCTGATTTTAATAAACACTTTATTATTGTCAGGGTGGCCTTATACTTGAAGGATTAATAACTAGCATCTCTCACACAGATATAACTCTTCATTATTTACAATAATATTTCATTCAATAAATAAAATAATTACAATTATTGCAATTACTGTTAATTATTTGTTACAATTATAAATAAAATAATTGTTACGACAACCCCATGAGACAGACAGGGTACTATAGTATACCTGTTGGTATACCAATCCAACATATTACAGATGAAGAAATTCTGAGTAGTTAAGTAACTTGCCTGAAATCATCTGGCTATCAAGGGACAGCACTGGGACTAAAATCCTAACTGGGTCTAAGGCCCTGTTATGGACTGAATGTTTGCGTCCTCACAAAATTCACATGTTGAAGCCCTAACCCCCACTGTGACTGTATTTGGAGATTGGGACTCTAAGGAAGTAATTAAGGTTAAATGAGGTCGTAAGGACAGGGTCCTGACATGGTAGGATTCGTGTGCTCATAAGAAGAGACATCAGAGAACTCTTGTGTGCACACACTTCCACCGCGACCAACACCACCACCATGTGAGGAGGTCTGCAAGCCAGAAAGAAAGCCCTCACTAGAAACTGAACACTGCTGGACGTTGATCTTGGGCTTTCTAGCCTCCAGAACTGTGAGAAAATAAATTTCTGTTGTTTAAGCCACCCAGTCTATGACATTTTCTTATGACAAAGCAGACTAATAAAGGACCTTTCCACTACACATTGCATTAATGTCTGCAAAAAACAGCACATATTTTTTCCCAATTAGAATAGTTTTATAAAAGCTCTAAAAACTGCCATAAGAAAATTTCAGCTCTAATAACAGTTCATGATTATCTCCAAACATATGGTTGAAGTTTGCCTTCATTTTATGTATAGAATTACCACCAAGTGGAAACCCCACCTTCAAGGAGAAATGATTTTTAAAAACCCCAAATTAATATAGCACCCTAAAAATGCAATAAGGAAACAACAGCCATGTCCATTTTAACAATTATTAGACTACACTACATCAGAATACATGTAGATTTTTTTATATTTAAAATGACCTATAGGAACAGGCATTGTTTTAATTGAGGAAAAGCACAAATTATCAATTCTAGAATCTCCCAAAATATCTTAGCTTCATATTAACTTCCCACCAATAAGAGCAGAAAAACTAAAAGGGTGAGAAAGATAGCTGTTGACTTGCTTTAAATAAGTGCAGTGTAAGGCTTAACAAACGTTTAAGTTTGGTAGTTGCAAAGATTTACATGGTTTAGGGTGCTCCACGTGGTTTTGTTTCTAATCAACACCATCACAGAAAACTGGAGTCTGGTAATACACGTACAATCTAAATTTGGAATTGAAATTGACCTGAGACTTTTTGGTGGTTTTGGCTTAGTGGTCCCCTCCATACCTACATAAAATATTGGCCATCAGAGGAAGGCAAACTAAAAAGATATTACCACACTATCAACAACAGTGGGAAGAGTAAGGTCAAACTTGGAAACACGTATTGGAAATTAAGGGAGACTAAAAATCTAAAAGCAGATCTACTCGCTTGAACTAACCCTAAATAAATTCCCAGCTTTCTCTGAAGGTAGCATTCTGCTGTGAGAAAACTAACCCATCCATTATAATCCAGCAAAACCACATTAGAAACTGTCCCCTAAGCAGTCGTTCCAAGCACAGTGGGTCACTGCTGCTCCATGATGACTCTGTCAACACTGGGCAGATGCTGGTTTGAGGCTAAGAATGCTCTGGACAGTGCAGTGCAAAACCCAGTTATCAAGCCACATACAGAACAGACCCTGGCACACAGATGCTTATAAAATAGAATTCACATGTAACTATACCATGAATGGATTTTTTATTTATACATTATATCAAAGCCTATGCTTATCTAAGATTCAGATTTGGCAATTCTAAGTAGAGTGATAACTAATTATTGCTAATGAGAAAGACTGTACTATAATTTTCAAAATTCAAGTATAAAAAACTGAATCCAATAAATATTTACTGTCCACCTATTATCGGTAAGTACATATAAGGCACAACTTTGTGCTGTCAAGATATAAGAATTAAAAGATGAATCTGAAAAAGGATTTAAATAATTAATAAATGTAAAGTGCTAAAACAGTGCCTGATATGTAAGTGCTCAATATTATCATCTTAACATCAAGGAGCTTACTGTTTAATAGAGAAGTGTAAGTATGTAAGCACTTATAAGATCAATAAGTATATAAATAACTATAAAAAGTTAATTATAAAGATCAATAAATATATAAATAACTATAAAAGAAAAAGAACCATAATGGAACATAAAATGCTACAGAAGTTCAGAGTGAGGAAAAATTTCTAACTAAGGGAATCAGACAATGTCAAGATTTTGAGATTCAGTGATGCAGAAAACGTTGGCTGTATTAACACAGAGGAAATACGAAAAGAGAAACAGGTTTAGGTGGAAAAAAGCACACTTCAGTAATGTAAAATAAATCTTTAAAAAGTAAAGCAGAGTTATAGAAGGAAAGGAGATGCTTATTTGATGAGGTTGTAACAAAGGAAAATTTTCAAAAAATGAAGTGTACTGAGGTGTCTAGACCAGTACATTACTTTCTTTCCCTCCCTCCCTCACTCTCTCTCTCTCTCACACACGCACATACTCTCTCTCTCCCCACCTCTCTTGTTGAATAAACAATAGTTATACTGATATAAAAATATATACAGATATATTAAGAATAGGAGAAACCTAAGTATGCTTGAGAAGTAAAGGAAAGGATCCGGCATGGGAAGACAAAAGATGCTGTGATAAGTATATACTGAGGAAGACCAAGAGCAGGTAAAAAAAAGATGGGATCATATATGCAAACGGTGCTGACTTTTAGGAGAAAGCAGATAACTCTTTATCTTATTAGAAATGAAGAAAGCTCAATCTTGAAAAATTCTGAGATAAATAAGACACAGTACGGATGTTCACGTGAGATGGTCCCAACATGTTCAGTATGAAAACCATGAGGCAAGGTTATCTGGGATTCCAAACTTGATGAGAATAAAAACAACTTAGTTGATTCCCTGACATCTTCCTCTCAGAAATAAAATTAGAGATGGAATAAAGCAACATCATAAGGAAAATAATTATACATAATCCTTATGTCTGGAAAGAGACAAATTCCTCTCACTGATGATAACCTTAAACAAAATAATACACTGTACTTACTTCATAAGCTTTTAAATTTGTTCCACTAAAGCACATTTAACTATAGGCAATCTTTTTTTAAAGCTAAAAGGTTTTATCAACATAAGGAGAGACCAGCACATAACGAAGATGTCAATCAAATATCAATTGACAAAAAAAACCCTATTTTATTGTTAAATTTGTTTTAGCTGTTGGGCTTTCTAAATTTCTCTTTTTTCAAGCTACATATGATATTGAGATGTTCTTTTTTTAACTTACGAAATTTACATTTAAAAATATTTTAAAGAGTGTCTTTCTTGTTCAAGTAATGGATGTCCTTTGTTTTACTCTGCTAAGAAAATGAATAATGCAACTATTTTCAACAAAAGTTTTATCCTACCTGGTGCTATTAACTGGTGAATACTTGATGTCCGGGTGACAGCTGTGCTTCGTGATTCCAGACCTGGACTTTCTCCTTTCTTATTACTTTCTGGAGAAGGATCTCGTTGGCTCACTTTAGAACTGGTCACTGTTGTTTTGTTATGACAAATTGTCAATGACTGAGTTTGATTAGTGCTTTTTGGAGGCCCATTCTGTGAGCTAGATAATACACCCAACTTCTGGCTGCGTAATGTTAAATTCTGAACCTAAGAACCACATAACAGAAAATAAGGGTGAAAACAGATAGTTTTAATTGATGTGGTAATCATTACCATTATAACAACAATGATGACACATTTATATTAAGCTTTTCATACATAAAATTCCAAATACTTGAAACAACTGGTTAATCCTGAAAGAAAGGAGAGTTATTATTCTGAGTAATTACATCTTAAATATTAAGTGATAATTTTTTTAAAAAGACATTAAAGGGAAGGAGGGAAGGAAGAGAGGCAGGGGAGGGAAGGAAGGAGAGAAGGTAAGAAGGAGAGAGACAGAAGGAAAGAAAGAAAGAAAAGGAAGAAAGGATGGATCATGAAAAACTAAATGAAAACCAAATATATACATATGAAAGGTCTTCAAAAAATTCATGGAAAGATTCATGTTATCTTTTAATTCCATTATTATATTAATTTTGTATTCTGTGTGTCTGTGTTTGTGAGAGAGAGAGAGAGAGTGAGAGAGAGAGAGCTATGAATATGAGGAAATTGCTATGCATTTAAAAGTTACCAGCTCTAACTATAGATATTATAAAGGGACATTAATCTTGTAAGTAAGAAAATTAATTAACCTACTCCAAGTCACCTACTCCATTGTGATAATTATGAAAAGCATTTTTTATAAATTTTGTTGTCGTTATTGAACACTCACTGCTTTTGAGAACTAGATCTCATGAATTGAAAAGACTGTGCATGGGCCTGAAATGGGTATATGTGGTAGCTCGTCTATACCCAGGGCTATTCTAAACATACAGCCAGTCTGAATGGTGGCTAGGATTATCCCAATTTCTACCATATGAGATTTATAACATTTCCAAACAGCAAGGCAGAAAATGCCTCTCCAAAAGTTACCTAATTTCTTGCCTGTCTGGAATGAATGCAACAAATACATTTATGCTAGCACGGCCCCAGGAGGGAATTTGAAGTAAAAGAGATTCCAAAGTGACAAAGCAAATGATATATTGCGACTTTATAAATGTTTTTCAGTTTCATATGTGTTCTGTCTCTACAACTACATCATTCATTGATGCTCAAAGGCTATACTTTCTCTGTCCAAGTGCCAAATGTAGTGTTCAGCCAATAGCGGGTACTAAATAAATGTTCACTTCAGGCCTGATGAAGTTTTAATCAATTCTATTCTAATCTACTGAAAGAATTTTCTAAGTGAGACCATATGGAGCATCTCCTCTGCTTTTTCTCAAATATTTCATATCCGTGTAAACATAAACAAACTAATAACCACTATATTATTAAAGCTTAATACAAAAATAAAATAAAATAAAATCCAGATTTCTCAGATTGCCACTCAAAGCCCTCCACAATCTAGGCCCAAAGCACTTAGAGCTGCTTTCTACTCCTCCAGCCCACAATTCTTCTATTCTAGCCATACTGTTCTGCTCACCATTCTCTAAACATACCATGTACTTCCTTCATTTGGAGTCTTTGCTCAGGCTCCTCTTGCCTAAATGCCATCCTTCCTCAAGGCGGTCTCCTGAAGCTCAACACATTCTTCCAAGCCCAGTAAAATCCCACTCTCCCTCCCCCAAAAATATTCCCAAAGTCCCTGGTTAGAAAATAACTTTACCCTCCCCTCTATAACAATTTTTCCATAGAATTTCAGTCATTATTGGCCTGTAGCACTGACAAATGTCTAGCTTGTTTTAAAATTACTAATGTCTGTGTCTGTGAAATACTGAGATTCTGTTAGACTACCATCACTAACATTTTGTACTCCCCACAGCTCACTGCTGCAGATATAATAGAAACTCCAAAAGTATGAGGTATTCTCCTATGTCTGATTTTGAAAAATGTTACATGTCTATTTTTCTAGTAGGTATTTAGTTCTATTTATAGTTTCCTTAGACTAACATTAAAATCTGCTCATATTTAGCCTCAAAGGTCTCAACAAATATCTGTTGGAGGCACATTAAAATACCCCAGGAAGACAACATAAAAGTTAACATTTGCCACAAATGATCTGTAAAGTTAACCACATAATAATGACAACTAAAGGGTGTATAATAATCTGAAAAATTTGAAAGAGTTCCTTCGAATGAAAAGCATATTCACAGAAAATCAGTATTTGACACAATGAACCCCTAAAAGCTGAAGCACATTTCTACAGAATAATACTTTTTTCTTCTAATTTTCCTTTTTTTCTTGAATTCTAAAAGAAAATATGTATTTATATATAGTATGTTATATATATTGTGTATTATTTATATGAATACATAAATTTTAGAATATGGCTATAATATCTACAGTCATCTTGGCTTAAATTTTGACATGGTTTAAATAAATTCCAAACATGTAAACTTTACTGCTAAAGTATATTACAAAGATAACTTAGCTGTTAATAAAAAGACCACACATTCAGATTTCCTTGACAGAGCTTTAATTTTGAGAGAAAACCCACCCTTTCTAATATAAAGGCACTATACTAGGGCACTCTATACTAGGGCGCTCTAATGTCCAACTTTCATTTCATCTGAACCTTTCTTATGATAGAATTATGGAAACTTTTCTGACTTTTGAAAAAGTCTGTATTTTGCTGAGGTATTTTTGCTAATTTCACTCCTTACATTTTTATAGTGGGTTCCTCCTGCCAAAATACTCTCATATCAATTATTTAACTTCAATATAACAAATACTGTGGAAATTATCATAGCATCCCTTCTTTGCAGATGGGGAAACTAAAAGTGAATGTCACATTGCTTGTGAGTAAAGCTGAGTTTCTACCTTTCAAACCCAAAGGGCTGTTTTTTCCTCAGTTCTAACAGCATTCCTCAGATAGCCTTGGGAGAATTTCTTACTCTTCTATAAACATACTTTTTGTCCTATGATATCATTCTGAAAATCTTTTTTTTTTCTTTGCATGGTAAAGAGAAGGGATAGAGCATTTAAAATGGTAAATAAGGGTAAGACATTCCAGATCTCTCTCTCTCTCTTTTTTTTTTACAGTATGCTATAAAAAATGTTTATACTAAGGAAAAATGAACTGTTAAACTGACTTCTATAGCTTAAATACCATTAAAATAAAACTTCAAATTAGTTATTTCTTGATTAAAAGCAAATTATTATTTTTTTGAAACTGCAAATATAATTTTAAAAAATCAACAAAGTGGAGTAGAAATTTTTTAAAACTAACAATCCTGAACCTGAGGAAAGTTACCACTTGAGTGTACAAAGCATTAGCATCACCTACCACCAGCTTTATTCACTACCATTTTAAAAGCACAGCAAAGAAAAACAACATTCACAGACAAATTTTTAAAGGTCAATCCATTCCTCTAGTTCCTCAAAAGTCCACCCTTAATTAAGTCAGATCATCACAGAGCCACATACCCAGAACACATCAAACTGGACCCCGAAGACCACTTTCATAAATTACTTGACTACACTCATGTTAAGGATGCTATTAAAGATATTTTCTTCATGAGAACCCTCAAGACAAATTGTGCTCTAGAGAGCCTGTTAGAAAGAGTTGTATTTTCCTAAGCAACTGGTTTGTTTTACCTTGGAAACTGTAAATCCTTTAAATGGTGTGTTTCTCTCTACACTATTAGCTACTTCAAAGCTAAGAACTGACTTCGTGACTCATCTTCAGACAACGGGTAACAAAAATAGTAATTAGTAGCATGTAATCTTATGTGGCAGGCACTACGCTAAATGCTTTATGATTATTGCCTCATTTATTTCTTATAACAACTCTGAGCTATTACTTGCAGTTTACAGCGAAGAAACTGAGGCTTAGGAAGGATAGTATTAACAGCTACCATTTGTTGAGTGCTGACTGTGTATCAGATACTGTTTTGTTTTACACTTATTAATAAATTTAATCATTACAACAACTCTTTATTTTATAAAAGTTTATTTTATTTTATATTGTTAAAACTGAGGTGAGCAGTTAAGGGTATATAATAAGATGGTAGAGCAAGTATTTGAACCCAGTGAGTCTGGCTCCAAAGTTGATACCTAGAGATATTATACTATGACCTTGTCCAAAATCAATCAGCTGGCAGGTAACAAAGCTGGCAATTGTTGTTCCTGAAGTCAGAATTTGAACCCAGGTCTTCCTATCCCCCCACCCCTACAAAAAAGTACTATTTACTTAGTGCCTATGATGTTCTAAATACTAAACACACATTACTCATCTTTCAACTTCCCCTAAAAGTAGGAATGAGTATTAGAGATGTTTGGTAACTTGTCTAAAGTCATACATTTAATAAATGAATGAAGTGGGAGTTGAACTTAAGTCTATACAGAACTTCATGCATGTAAGTTGAGTAGCAATCTCACTTCTAGCTCCATGCTACTTTCCTACTCTTATCTGTGCTTTTCTTCTTCCATGCTTTCAATTTATTTTATCATGTTTTATTTTATGTACCATGTAAATTAATTAAAATCTTAGTTGGAACAAAGTCAAATATGAATGAAAAACTAAAATTTAAAATATCCTGGAAGTTGACAATGGTCTAGCTCTAATAGGTTTTATAAAACCAAAACAAAGAGAACAGGAAGATCATTACTTCAACAAATTCATTCTACAAGAAGACGTTGGAAAGTTGAAAGCTGAAAAAAATCTTAAAGTTAACAAAGACAATGGTCTCATTCTGTAAATGTGGAAAGAAAAGTCCAACAAAGTTAAGGAATTGTGGAGAGTCACAGAGCAAGTTAGGAGAAACCTAAGTTTAACTGACCACCATCTTTATAAAGTAATTATGAAAAATCCCAAAGAATATTATTACTATCTCATTTCTTACTTTTTAACAGAAGTTTGAGATTATTATTTTAAAAACAAGAAGCCAAGGATGACCCAAAGATACACTACCTTCTGCCATATGTAGCCTAAGACATTATGGAAAAATACCAAAACAGTATCATACAAAGTAACATTCTACTCAATTGTTTTAATTTAAAATTTACTCAATCTAATTCATTTTTATCAAATTTATTGAGGTATAACTTACATACAATAAAATGAACAAACCAATTCAATGAGTTTTGACATATGTACGGACCATGTAACCACCACCCCAATCAAGATACAAAACATTTCCATCATCCTAAAAGTTCATTCATGTCCCTTCCCAATCAATCTCTCCCACCTTCTGCCCTAGGAACCACTAATCTGATTTTTGTCCCTATAGATAGTTTTACTTGTTCTAAAATTTCATATAAATGGAATCATAGAGTATGTACTTGTGTCTAGCTTCTTTTGCTAAACACGTTTCTGAGATGCATCAGTAGTTTGTTCTTTTTTATTTCTGAGTAGTTCCACTGCATGAACATACCACAATTTGTTTATCCACTCAGCAGTTAAAGGACATTTGGTTGTTTCCAGTTTGGGGCTATTCTGAATAGAGCTGCCATGAACATTCATTTAACATGTCTTTATGTGGATGTATGTTTTTAGATATCTTAGAGTAAACACCTAGGAGCAGGATTGCTGGGTCACATGTTAAATGCATACTAAACTTTGTAAGGAACTGCCAAATTGTTTTCCAAAGTGATTGTGCCATTTTACAGTCTCGCCAGCAATGTATGAGAGTCTGGTTGCTCCACATTCTTGCCAATATGTGGTAGTATCAGTCTTTTTCCTTTCAGCCATTCTAGTGTCTATGTGGTGATACTAGTGGTTTTGATTTGCATTTCTATAATGATCAATAATGTTAAGCATTTTTTCATGTGGTTACTGGCCTTTCTTGTACACTGTCTTTTGTGAAGTATCTGTTCAAGTCTTTTGCCCATTTTTAATTGAGTTGCTTATGATCTTATTATTGACTGTAAGCACACTTTATACACTCTGGGTATAAGTCCTTTGTCAGATCTATGTATTGTGAACATATTCCCTCAGTCTGTGACTTGCTTCTTCACTTTTGTGCTATCTTTTGAAGAAGAGTTTTTAATTTTTTTTTTCCTTTTTGTCTTTTTTCGTGACCGGCAACGGATCGCAACCCTCAGTGTCGCGCCCGTACCGGACCAGGACCGGCCACGGGATCGCAACCCTCGGTGTTGCTCCCTCACTTCGCTCAGCCAGTGAGCGGCCGGTCTGTACGTGGGATCCGAACCCTCGGCGGGAGCGCCGCCGCACTTCCCAAGCGGCGCACTGTAGCAGGGCGCCACCGGGCCGGCCCAAAGAGTTTTTAATTTTTATAAAAGCCACTTTGTCATTATTTTCTTTTATGGTTAGTACTTTTTGTTTTGTTTTGCTTTTTGGCAGCTAGCTGGTACAGGGATCTGAACCTGTGACATTGGTGCTATAAGGCTGTGCTCTAACCAACTGAGCTAACCAGCAAGCCCGTTAGTGCTTTCTGTATCCTAAGAAAGCACTGCCTACCCTACAGTTGCAAAAATATTCTCCTATCTTTTCCTCTAGAAAATTTACAGTATTAGCTTTTACTTTAAGGTCTACATTGTACTTCTAGCTTATTTTTGTGAATGTTGTGAGGAGAAAGTTAAGGTTCATTTTTTCCACAGTACCAAATAAAGTAATATTCTACTCAATTTTTAAATTTAAAATTTGCCTAATTTAATTCAGTTTTAAACTTAAAATTCATATTGATTAAGTAACTGCTTGCAAAGGAATCTATACAAAAGAATTCATCTCGCATAATAAGAGAAATAAATCTGCTTTACAATAAAACTAAACATACTATATCATTAGCAAATGCTCTCATTAATCTTGATTAACGTAAAATAACCCGTTTAATTGTATTATAATTTCTACAGAACAAAAACATTTTCTTGAAGTTCTCATGTATTTTATTAAATTTCAATCTGAAATGCATGACAAAGAGCACTGAAACCATCAGTAACTGAAACACAAATGCAATGCGTATCTTTAACCTGAAGATCCAGACCTCAAGTACTGTACCACATTATGAAGCTAGACAAGCTCACCTGAGTAGCTGCGGACTGACAGGAAGAGGACGATGACGACGAGACAACAGGAATGTCAGACTGTACAGCAGCCACAGTGGTAGCGGGTGTGAAAATCAGCTGTACAGACAGAAAACCAAAAAAATACCCTAAGACAAAAGAACATGTCCCACACACAATGTATAGCGGGCAAGAGAGACTGAAATCTGTGACAGAAAGACAATGCAGTTTAGGATTATCTCCTAAGCAAAAGGTTTTACATGACAAAGAGAAGTTTCTGATAATAGAGAACTAAAAAAAAAATCATAAACATTTTTAAAACAACTCATGACTCTGATGAGTAGAAAAATAAATCAGTGCTTAAAAAAGAAAATATATTTTGGTGACATGAAATCCTCAGACCAAGTTTTATCCCAAATAAACTATTGTACTTAAATTTTTCCCAACTCAAAACTACTGTGATAGGATTCCTAAAATGAAAAGTTAAAATAGACAACTAGAGTCACTATTTTGGGATTCAAATTAAATTTCAGTGAGAAACATGAACAGAAATACAAAAAGTTTTTCCAGTTCTATTTACCACAGGAATAACTATGCCACAGTCTACACTACAAATGTGTCATTCAGCTACAAAGGATCTATAGGACAAACCTAAGTTGCTCTTGATTTTAAAACTATTTGAAAAGAAATATTCATTCTAAACGTAAATGCTACAACATGTCAAAATTCAACAAGAGCCTGCAAAAAAGCCTCACATCAAAAAAAAAAAAAAAAAGGGAAGACCATACTCAATCTATTTACTCATCACTCTCTCTTTTAAAATCTTTTTTCAATATCAAAACAAATGCCATTAATTTCTAAGGCAAACAATCTACTCAGATTATCTAATTCAACTTAGTAAATTAAAACAGTTGTTTCAAAGAATATGTATATACTCTATTTCAAAACTGTATCAAGAGTTACTCATTGCTGTTTCAATTTAAATGACCAATTAAGTGATTTTTTAAACTTCAGTTCTTTAGTATACTAAATTTAAGTGAATTCAACAACAAAGAATAACTTTCACAAAAAAGTAACTTCCAGTATGAACAGCCTGAAGATACTAAGATACTAAAGAGAAGATACTCCATTTAGTCTGAACCATATGAAATTTTAGAGGTTAAAAATGGTCAAGGAGCAACAATTTCAAACAGTTCAATCTAACTTTAAAGCATATTATTAGTTAAATAAGATGTCATGGGGGAAAAAAATCCAGAAATATCATAGTATTTATTGAATAATCTGAGACTAAAAGGTGGGTTGTGCCATTACTTCCTGTTAGAATTATGACTATAAACTTTCTTTGCAATTTTAGCTGGAGAACTGGGGATCCAGAGATATATTTGCAATGGACAAAAAAATATATAAGTAAATACGTATTAGGGCCAAAACTTTTGTCTAGCCCCCTGTAAAGACATCAAATACAATGAATGTCAACCAATTTCTACATTCCTTAAAGAAGCTCAGAAATTAAACTGGGAAATCAGTAGCTACCCAAATACAGAGTAACCAAATTAATATTTCTATATTTAAGAAAGATCAAAGTGAGCATTAGAACACAAATAACCTTGCAGAATTTGAGATGGGAATAGCCAAAGCTAAAAGTCATCTGGGAAATTATCAGGATCTCCAATCCAGATTTCAGAAGATCCCAGAATATAAATTCTAACTTACAGAATTGATACAGAATCTCTTATTAGCTTCCCAATGCTGATAAATATTATTGATACCAAGTAGGCCTACTAATTAAAAATAGAATTTTTCATGACATAAATGTACAAAAGCTGAGCAAACATACACAAAAAATTGTTAAACATTTCTTAAATATTAAAAATGTCTCTTACTGCATAAAATCAGAAAACATTTTGATCTCTCAAGTCCTTAAACACTGAATCTGGTAGCTCATATCTTACCATTTGAGCTCGGAGATACATTTGAGCTTGGCTTGCCGTAAGAGTAGGGGAAGTACTCCCTAGTAACATAGTCTGTTGGGTAATACTGCCGCTGGTAGAACTGGAAGCCTGAGAACGGCTTATTAACTGTGCAGGTGTAGGAGAAGTAGAGAGGTTGATCTAAGGAAGAAAACATATTAGGTCATAGGCTTCCATTTCTTGCTTTGATGTTAATGAATTTCACCAAGCAGCAGTAACGCAATCAATGGTATAAACTGTGGCTAAGGAACCCAAAAGAGGAGCCTTCATCTTTGACAGACTCCCTCACTTCTTTAGGCAACTTTTGCTCATATGCAAACAATAGCATGGACTGGTAAGTAATCAGGACAATTTTTAAGGATATCCACAATATGCTTCAACAAGACTTATAGTATCTTAAAATATCATTTCGACTACCTCCCCCAAATTAGAGCTAATGTTCCATTATTTTAATATTCCACATTATAACAAAACAGTCTATCAACAGTTGACACTACTTTGTTGTACTCTTCACATTTTGAGGGGCTTGTGAAGTGAACAAATATTAAAACAGATGATCCATTCATATACATAAAAACATACATATAACAGATAATTAAAGTTTTGACTCAAAAGCTTTCAGAGCAGAAGAAAATACAATTGCTATCTGTCAAACAGATAAAAAAAATCCAGAATACTGGCTACGAAATTAAATTACAAACACTACTTTAAAGTTTAAAATTGTTGTTAAAGAATATACTAATGCATAGTTGATCCTAGAAGGATATATAAAAAACTGGTAACTGGTTGTATCTGTGAAGGGAAACTGGAGTGGGGTAAGTAGGAGAACAGGGCAAGGGGAGACATGTATATCCTTTTTTATCTTTCCAATTTCAGTATTACCCATTTTAGCAATAAATAATATTTTTAAAGAGACAGTAACATAACCCAACCTCAAATCCTTTTTGTGGAACAAAGCAGAGAATAAATTTAAAGAAGTTTATTTAGACTTCTGATTTAAGCAACAAGGCAGACTGGACTAACACATCCATGTGCCCAAATACACTCACTAAAATGCTAGATCAATATGAAAAATCAGAATATATAGCTGAGCTCAAAAGGGGAGAGGGGAGAGGGAAATTCCCAGGTGCCAGAAAAGAAGAAACTCAAAGCCAGAGATAAAAGTTCCAGCTTACACCAAGGCAGTCTACAGGGGTATAACGGGCCTACAGACACAGAAGACCCAACTTTGAGCCTATTTCAGGGAAGTACTATACCTATTTTGAGCCAAGATCCCGAAAAGAACTGTTCATTATATGAAAAAGAGAGCTGGAAAAGCTCCACCCATACACTCTGAGAAGCAGCAAGGAAGCTTGCATCTGCCCTGCTCCCACTGGATTGGGAGAGAGGCATTTTTGTGAATCAGAACTCCAGGCTTTTTACTACATAGGGGTATAGAGTCCAAATTTACACTCCCTACATGGTTCCATAATCCATCCCATGACCCTAGCATTTGAACTACTTCAGGAAATTTGTTCAACTGAATAGTGACTAGAGGAAGCTGAGGTAAGGCCACATAGGAGGAACTCTGTACTATATCTGCAACTTCCTATGAGTCTATAATTATTGAAAAATAAAAAGTTTTTAAAAAACTATAGTGGGTACACAAGAGTTGGTTATCTAATTCACTAATGTATCTGTATCTTTTAAGCATTTCATAATTTTAACAAAATATTTAAATCCTACTACCCAAAGCAGTCTACAAATTCAACGCTATCCCTATCAAAATATCAATGACATTCTTCACAGAAATAGAAAAAACAGTCCTAAAATTCATGTAGAACCACAGAAGACCCCAAACAGCCAAAGCAATCCTGAGCAAAAAGAACAGAGCTGGAGGCATTACACTATCTGATTTCAAAATATACTAAAAAACTATAGTAATCAAAACAGCCTTATGTTTTCTCTCTCACCCTCTCTTGCCTTCCTGTCTTCTGTCACGGGATGAAACAGCAAGAAGGCTCTTGCCAGATACTGGCCCCTCAATCTTAAACCTCTCAGCTTCCGGAACTGTGACCCAATAAATTCATTTTCATTATAAATTACCCAGTCTCAGGTATTTTGCTATAGCAGCACAAAACAGAGTAAGACAGCCAGCACGAAGAAGATAGAACGGCAAGACAAAGAATTTGTTGCCAACTTTCCCAAGAAGCTTATGGTGTAGAGAAGCTCCACGCTTGCCGTCATGAAATCCTCAGACCATCATGCCCAGTCTAGCTACTACAAGATGAGAGATCACATGAAGAAGAACCCAGTCAACAGCCAAAATAATTTGTGAGGGAAGCCATCTTGAGCCATCCAACTCCAGTCAAGGCATTAGTTATGGCACCCAAGCCAGAGAAAGGGTAAGAAAGAAATACCTGATTTTCTCTATCCTTATCCTTCTACCTTCCCTCAGAGCCTCCAGCTAGTGCCTCCTTTCTCCTCCAGTGCCTCCATTTGGTCTAATCAAATGAAGCTAGCTGATAGAGGACCCTGGAAATGCAGCCTTCAAAATGAAGAACTGGAGAAACAGGCCCAGGATCAGCACAGTGGATTAGGCAAATGAAAGTAAGCACGAAGTGGGGAGAAAACCAGAAGGTTTGGTCCTCTGCTGTGGCCATGGATAAGGGAAAGAAGCTTATGAAGAAGACAGATAGATCAGCCAGATAGGTTGGAATAGCAATAATCCAGTGTTGGTTTGAAATAAAAAATGAGAGGATTGAAGGAAGAAGAAAAAGTCTGATAAATGGTGTAAAATAATGCAGAGACTTCAAAGAGGGTAATTGGCAAGAGACAGTTTTCTTGGGTGGCATGCATTCATTAGTGACCCAAGAGCAGCCTGTAAACATATATTAATTTTTCCTCCCAAACTGTGGTTTGAAAATCCTCAGAGGTTTATGAAAGTGTCACAGGGGTTTATCATTAAAAATGGCAATGATACCTGGGGGGAAAAAAAAAGCCTGGTAAGGCATAAAAACAGACACATGAACCACAGAACTGAACAGAAAACCCAGAAATAAATCCATGCATCTGTAGCCAAATGATTTTTATAAAGGAACTAAGAACATACGTTGGGGAAAGGACAGCTCTTCAACAAATGGTGCTGGGTAAACTGGATATCCATATGCAGAAAAAATAAACTAGAACCCTATCTCTCACTATAGACCACAATCAACTCAAAAAGGACTAAATACTTAAATTAAGAACTGAAACTATAAAAATACCAGAAGAAAAACATAGGGGAAACACTCCAAGACATTAGTCTGGGCAGAAATTTTATGGAGACGACTTCTGAAGTACAGGCAACAAAAGCAAAAATAGACAAATAGAACATACATCAAACTAAAAATTTGCTGCACAGCAAAGAAAACAGTCAACAGAGTATAGAGGCAACTGGCAGAATGGGAGAAAATATTTTCAAACTATTCATCTGACAAGTGATTAATATCCAGAATATACAAGAAACAATGCAACAGCAAAAAAAAAAAAAAAACCCTCTAATAATCTGATTTTAAAATGGGCAAATGACTTGAATAGACATTTCTCAAAAGAAGACATACAAATGGCCAACAGTTATATGAAAAAATGCTCAGTATCACTAATAATCAGGGTAATGCAAATCAAAACCACAATGAGATATCATCTCACCCCAGTTAGAATGGCTATTATCAAAAAGACAAAAAAAAAAAAAAAACCAATGCTGAGAGGATGCAGAGAAAAGGGAACTCATACACTGTTGGCAACTAGCACACTGTTGGAAAACAGATACACTTGCTAATTGGCTGCCTGTCCATAACTGGCAACCAAAGAAACTCATCCCTGAGGTCAGGATTAGACCCTCTTTTATAACCCAATTTCAGGCAATCACAATATATCCTAAAGTGACTCTCTGCATTACAGATAATACACTTGCAGTAATCAGGACTTAACATATATTATGTATTATATATTCTACTTGATGTTTATAACTCCTGCCATTCATCTTTCAACAAATATTACATGCCTACTGTGTGATGGGTATGTGTATTATTTGCAATATTTTTTTATTTTAATATTTTTATAACTATTTAAGAAACCCGGAAAGAATCTTAGATAAACATCTAAACCACTGATTCTCAAACTTCTTTTTTAATAATACCCTTCCTTCAAGCACAATCTTGTTCAGAACTTGACATTCAAACAGATCACAGACCTGTTACAGCTAGCTAAAGCTTAAGGTAAAGCCCAGAGCCCAAACTGTGCTAGGCTGCCATAACAAAATACCACAAATTGGGTGGCTTAAACAACAGAAATTTATTCCTCACAGTTCTAGAGGCTGGGAAGTCCAAAAATTAATGTGCCAGCTGATTCAGTTTCTGGTTAGGGTTCTCTTCCTGGTTAGCCAAGGGCCACCTTTCTCACTGTATCCTCACATGGTGGAGCGATCACTGGTGTCTCTTACTCTTTTATAAGGACACCAGTTCTATCGGATCATGGTTCCACCCTATGACCTCATTTAACTTTAATCACCTCCTCAAAGGCCCTATCTCCAACAAAGTCATACGGGTTATGGCTTCAACATATGAATTTTGGGAGGACACAATTCAGATTCTTCTCCTTGATCCAGATCCAGAGACATATAGATGAAATGACTAAAAAACATCTGATTAGACAATGTAATTTTACAGAAAATTGGAGTTCATGGAGGTTAAATGATTTGTCCTAAGTCACATCACTGGTCAGTCACAGAATTTAAGATTAAAACCCAGGTCTCTTATCTCCTCTATTCTACCAAACTTTCTCTCATGATAAACCACAGACAGTAGTGAAGTCATCAGATATTCTTGTGACTTGAATATTCAATGAGCTGCATGAGACATCATTAATCACCATACCTCTACATTTAACTCCAAACTCATATATCCAGTACCTAATCAACATCTACAGGTTGGTGTCTAATACACATCAAAAACTTAACATGTCCAGAACTGAACTCGTGATTTTCTTCTCCAACACCTGCTTTAGCTATTCCATGCTTCCAGATGCTTGGCTCAAAACATTACGGAGCTGTTCTTTACTCCTCACCTTTCCTCACATCTTTTCTTCAAACCACCAGCATATCCTGTTAGCTCTCCTTTCAA